GTTAGGTTAGGTTAGGTTAGGTTAGGTCACCTCGAAGCAGCAATCTAAGTTTAACCACAGCGAATCAAGTTGAAGTGCTCGTCTTTTTTTTAGGCTATCGTGTCATGCTTGCTTTATTTTTCGCGAACGCGGCTGTGTTCGCCGGCTGTGACTTGCTGGGAAACTGATACAGCTGTAGGGCGTCTCTTGGTCTTGTCTGCCTTGTTGTGGAAGCCCACAACACAATACTTCGAACCTCGGTAACGCTTCCGTGGGGGCGCTTCTTCCATCGCGGAAAGACAACCTCGTAGAGCGAGCGTCCCGTTTTAGCGCGCCAAGGCGACGGCACGGCTAGGGTGGCTAGAATACCACATACCACCCTAGCACGGCCCCCAAGTTCGCTGCACCAACTGCAGAAAGCGTCGCACGCGCTCCCGTTTCGCCGAAACACGCTCACTCGCCTGCGACCTCTCCCGCATCCACAGAGGAAGGAAAAAAACTTATGAGAGGCCATGACGTCACTTGTTGTGAAGCCGTGGTGAAGCAGGAAGTCGGCTATACTGACTGGGCAAATTCTCCTCTCTTGTTTACATCCGAATGTAAAGCAGAAGGCGCGGCTCTCTCTCCGGCTCGGAAAGAACATATGCTGTGCAGCGCGCGTGTCGCGATGATCCGAAACTAATGGAATGGTGCTCAACACTCTGGGCTAGCGCGACACCATCGGCGAAATCATTTCGTCCGAGTATGAACAGCGAGTAACAGCTCGCCGACAACGAAGCAAGTACAAGAGAACGCGCGCTAGATGCACTAACAATGACGAGTATTTTCACGTCATTAGTTCAGCAACTGTACAGACATCTCGATCGGTCGTGCGCCTTCTACAGTTGCGTTCCGACACGAGGTCGACGCAGCGCCCAGCCACTATGCCCGTGTTCCGCGTGAAACTCACCGGCGTCAGAATTCTGCAACCGTGTTGACTTTGAGCACGGTGCAAGTGACACTTGAACGCGGTTGCTCTAACGTTGAGATTACAATGCTGGGGGTGAGTATAACAAGTGGAACAGAAAAGGTGTTTTATTACGCACATGCAAGTTGTTACTGTACACATACCGAACACGAAACTACGTATGTGCAGATGGTCCTCATTGCGTCTTGCTGGGCACAACAGTTTTATCCGTTGCCACAAGCAGGAGCACTGCTTAATCATCACTGACCTGCAAGGCGTTCGTCATCGTTCCGCTTCGTCATGGTGCCCAACGCAATTTCGCTAAACACTTCGAATGCTTCATAGGCGTCATCCGCCGAACGATCGACACATGAATATGCGCTCGTTTTACTCACTGTTCAGACCCCGTGGTGGACGAAAGGTTTTGTAAACGTTGCTAAGAGTACAGTAGCTGCCAGGAGAATACCCCGTAACCAATAACGCGGCGCAGAGCACTGATATTGTCCGCCACGGCTCAGCACTAGACCTGCGGAGGCACACATGCCGTCGCCAGCCGCGGCCGCTCCCTGCTAGACAAGCTACACTGTGCAGCACATAACCGTAGCAACGCCCTCATTGTGTCCAGTGAATATGGCCGCCATGATGCCATTTTCTCCGCAATTTTGGCGTAGCGCGCTGGCTGGGCATGCCCTCTGTATTGCTCAGCACAGGCAGGCTATATCTCAGAAAACTGAGAAAGATTGCTTTGTATAGTTCGAGCGTTGCCTCTACAGATATCCCCCCGCCTTTCCTGCCAAGAACTTGGACAGCTGAGAGATTTCCGTGAAGCGCTGCTACATGTAGGCCACGCGCGACCCGGCTTCAGGTCATGGGAACTAACCGTGTCACTGGTGGGTGCATTAAAACTGTCCATTTATTACTGTGGGCAGCCATAATTTAAATACTTCATATTGTGCGAGGAGTCCTATCTGCAGTTACGTAGTTGCACACTCTGTGTAGCAGTAGCGTAGCACCGTACAACGTATTGCGCCATGTAAATATCGTAGCAGGTGATTTCCTGAAAACTGACCACCCACCACAAAACAGAGCGACATGTGATTTGTTATCACCATCAGCACCAGAAGCTGCACCATCAGCAGCAGCACCATACCAAGTATTACGCCAGGTGAATATCGTAGCAGGCGAGTGCCTGAAAACCACTCACCCATTACAAAAGAGGGCAACAAGTGATCCATCACCATTATCATCGTCATCATCATCATCATTATCATCAGGAGCAGCAGCAGCAGCTGGTTCTTATCACGCGATAATTCATGCGTCCAGTTAGATGCACACGTTGCGCGGAAATTGCGCAGTATCGCGCCATGTGTTATGCTATTTCAACGCGTGTGAAATATCCTCGCTGACCAGTCTACACATTACAAATAGCTCAGCCACAATTCGTCGTCATAATGATGCGAAGGCGCTTTTCAAAGCTTCACAGCAGTTCACATACTGCCATGACTTTTCTTTGCCATGGCTGCACTTCAGGAACAACAGTTAATACGCTGTGTCACAGTGCATGTTCTCTGAAACGGCATTTTCTGATCGCTAAGGATACTTGACTGTATTTTGTAAGATCTATGCACATCAAAAGTGAATCTTCCATGCTGAACGCTTGCAGTACACGACTTCGAATAGTTTACCCCCGGTATCTAGGAGACCACTCCGCCGTCTTATGCTGCTATTGTCTGCGTGTTCTGCAAAGGTTTGGTCTTTTTAGGGCGAAGCCCCTTAGGGTCCAGGCTTGTCCGTTGTCCGGCAGAGTATCTGCAAGGTACCCACTATACGGCCACCATACCTTTCATGAAGTAGGTAAGCACCCACTGTACTACTATCCCATTCGTCATGCTGTACAAAATGCACGCAATGCCTACCGCTACACATGTGTAAGGCGTTATGTGTTGTCGCTGATGACGATGAAGAATAAGCGCATTCATCCCATTCGCTAACCTAGGGCTGACCTTCACCATTGAGTTTACGTACCTTTGGTGCTTCGACTCTCGACTTCAACCACAGGAACGCCGTTGATGCCATTTGCAGTTATCTTCATGAAACAAAACGAATGCGCCTCTAAATTTCTATTTGTATATGTATTATTATAGTATGATGCAGTAGGTTAAAAACATACACTTTAAACGTGCTCAATATTACTGTTTTTATATTCAAAATATCGACAATACTGTGTGGTCTAAATGGCAAAAAGTAATTATTGGACTCTTTTTCTTTTTAAGTACGGTGTTTTCTCATTTTCGTTGGGATTACATAATACGTACTTGAAAGGCCTGAAAGTGCACTTAAGGAGTTCTTGGCCAATCCCCCTGAGTAGGTATGAAAAATAGTTTACGCATAATTATCATCATCACCATCATTGTCTAGACCACACATTCGCTTTCTGTCATGAATCAAAACGATTGGCAATGCGCTCTCATCCGCAAAAGGCAACGCCGACGGAGATTACAATCTAGCCCGGAGGCGAGAGGTCGGGAAAGAGTGGCAAAGCGGCAACGCCGACAAGCTGCTAGTTCGAAGGTGAGAGCGCGGCATGCTGTGGCTGAATGCATACAACTAGCTACCCCGGAACGAGAGCGCGGAATGCAGCGAATAATCGCTCCGTTGTTCCCGTCGTTCATGAGCATCAGGCGTTAAGCGCACGGCAACGGGCAGTACAGAATGAAAGATGAAGTGGTCAACGTCCGTATGGACGTTAAGAAAATGGTGCAACGCCTTCCCCGAAACATACCCTCGACGCAGTCATCGACATGCACATAAGGCAAAATATGCTCAGCAAGCCCTTGTGCAAGTCTGCCCAAGTTAAGAAACGAAACATTCACGCGTGGTTGAAGTCCCCAGAAGATTCATACATCTGCAAGTTCCTAAATATAAAGAAAACGTACATACACCTAGTCTTTGCCAACTTCAGGCTAGATCCCTTCGAAGAACCATTGGCTCTACATTTTCTAGACCACAAAGCAGTATTGTTGAAGAAAAAAAAAACAGAATGTAGAACTCAAGACGACATACAAGGTCGACTAATAAAATATTATATATATTGTACACATGCGTTATCACTCATTTACATGCGCCAGTGAACGGGTGTATCAACTCCCCAGTGTTTCACTTCCTCGTCATGATTCGATTCTTCGAGATGCGTGAAATCACGTTTTCACTATGGTGCCCACCAAGCATCGATACGAATCGTCAACACCACCTGTCCTATTTGATGGCTCTCCGCATGCCCACTGGACTCGACCGAAGAGAAGCCACCCTACTTCATCGCGTATGGCTAGGAGTGGCATTTACAAAATCTTACTCCTTTGTCATAGGAATGGCCGACAATGCTCTCTGCGATGCCTGTCATTGCGAAGAGACGCTACACCACATCCTGTGTGACTGTCCATTGTATGAAATCCAGAGACAGTCACTGGCGTCTGCTTTTGCGCGCATCGACAACAGCCAAATGTCTGTGGACACTATTCTGTGGAGTGCCCGAGAGAAGACACTGCAACAGAAGGCGACGAAAGCTCTGTTGAAATTCCTACGCGACACCGACTTCAAGCGGCTGTAACAGCAATGTCACACACCGCGAAAGACAAGACAGGACTATGAATGAGTGTGCGCGCATGTGCTGCCGAATGTGCTGTTTCTATCTTCCCTCTCTGCTCTCTTTCATCTCCCCCATCCCTCCCCCATGCGCAGGGTAGCAAACCGGCTGCCTATAGGCTGGGTAACCTCCTTGCCTTTCTTTTCCCTCTATTTTCCTTCTTCTATTCCTTCGAGATGCGTAGATTTTTCCCCTATGTTTTAACCAAGAAAATAAAGCGAGCACCTGGCAAGGCTTAAAAATATTAGCCGGAAATTCTCTTCGCAGCAGCAGACCACAAACTAATAGCCAAGTGAAACAAAACTTGTAGAGTGAAGGGCGTAGAGAAAAGAAACGTGCGATCGTGTGCGTGAAATGACGACCAGGCAGTCTTGTATGATGTGTTAGTTGAATATTAATGAGACAACTTAAAGTCTAGGAAGACGTGGTTCTTCAAGGGTCATCTCTGCCGTTGTACGTTCCATCCACTGTAGGGTCGCGAAGAATAGTGCGCTTCCGTTTCGAGCTTTTGATGCACGATCCCAAGTTCATGATAACCTGCAAGAAGAGAGGCGTCCGTACATGTGCTTGCAATAATAACTGTTAGGATTCTACATGCTCGAACACGGGTGTGAGTTGTGAGGCTAGCCGCAGTGGGCAACCCTATAGATTAATTTATTTCACCTGTGCTTCCTGTGTAGGAATGCGGAAGCCTAGGCTCACTGCCGCATCGTAGACCTTCTGGACAGCAAGCAGGGGTGGAATCCTTCATGATTCCAATAAATTTTTTCATCCACCCATCTGTCCAACCTCAGCACGGTTGAAATCCAGGTACACGGATTAGCTGGCATTTCGCTCTTATAGGGATGTGGCCCCCGTGACTGGGAATTGAAGCCGCGCCCTTGACTCGACACCATATATGTTCGGAGGGCGTGGTCAGGAATATTCTGTGGGAGGGAAATGTCCTACCCTATTTATGTAAGTTCGAGCGTGTGTTTTAGGAGGGTATTCACCTACAAAGTGTAAAATTCGGAAAGCAAGGCGTTTGAACCCATCCCCGTTCCTCTGTCGACGCCATTGGCGGATTTTTCATCTGTTAACATACTATAGTGATACCATCGACGTAATACTTTAAGGAGAAGGTTTTAGAGACTCTACTATAACTAAGTAAAAAACCCGAAATCTTTCTACACTTCGCAGGCTAGTTAGTTTCAATGGCAAGTTGAGATGAATTGTAGATACACCATAGTGTTACGCGGTGCGGTTGCCGCCCCACAAATAATACATGAATTCAATTGTATTGTTGCTGTTTTCATCAGCCATCAAGATTTTGCAAAATCTTTTAAAACCAATTTATATTACGCGTGATAGCCTTCGTAAGTCAAACAAAACTTACAAACTGAAGAATACAGTATAAAAACAGTAAAGTCTATGTAATCTTCAATGTGAACTCGCCTTGGGTGAATCTACAGCCTAAATGTTTTTTCTTTCGAAAAATATTTACAGTTAAACATTGTTGTGAACCATTGACTCTGTGGAGCATAGAGCATAGTGGACAGATATTACAGATGTATGAGAGTGTCCTTACAGGCAACTTGGTGGCTTCTCTACCACGCGTTAAGGATTGGGTGCGTCAAGGACCTCGATGAATTGGCTTGTGTATACATTGATTAAGAAATAAAGAGAACTCATTTCATGTTCCAAAACTTAAAACTTGCAGTATCCACGCAAAGTACTATCAGGCAAGAGATGCGCGGCAGACAAATAATAAGACAAAAATGGTTATCCCATTCTTCAACTTCATAGAATCTTGTCATACAAAAGATGTCAGGCATAAATAATTATGCTACAGCAAAAACCAGTGAAGAATACAGCGAAAAAAGGAGATAAGTCACACACACGACGAATGGTCATAGCGTGTGTTACTTCCTTTCCTTGTCCGCGGTCTTCATGGGTTGGTTTTCCTTTAATGTCGTGCACCACCTGACCAAGACATGGACTTCATTATAATTATTTATCATTGTTTCGGTCTCTTTTTCTTACATTGATTGTCAATCAAGATCGCATGGAATCTCCCCATCCAATATGGGCAGGTGAGAGTGTTAAACGCCTGAACATGGGTATAATATACTTACACAAATGACCAAAGCAGCAAACATGACCAGCGAAGCATTCTCGTAGCCTATGATTTCTCTGGCATGCTTGCTCAGCAGTGGTGCTACCGACGATCTGTTCACGAACAGTCAAGGCGTCATTATGTCATTCCTTTGTGAAGCATTGTTGCACTTGGGAACAAGGACAGCTCACCCCAGAGTAATTGCACCAAAGAGCACACCACATACAGTTGCGTAGGTCCACATGTTGTTTGGAAATCCTCTTTCGCTTTCGTGTAGATTGTTGCCAAAGAAAATCAATGAAAAAAGAACATTATTGTCACTGTTAGAACGTTCAAGATTTTTCCTTTACGTGACACTCATGCTAAAACTGAAGCCTTGCACAATTTGAGGTGGTGAAAGTGCGTGTGTGTGGAGGGCGGGTGGGGGAGGGAAGGGGATCAGTACATTGACTCAGAAGAAAAAGAAGCAAAATAAGAAGATGGCTAATGAGAGGGAGCCATCGCCATATATATATATATATATATATATATATAGGCAGGCATGGTGGTTGAGTGGCCGTAGCGTTGCATATAGTCTAGTAGATCCTCCGTGAGCGGTCACAACGTGGTTTATTTCGACGTTTCGGCCTAGAGTCTGGCCTTCATCAGGAATGATGGTGAAGGCCAGTCTGGCCTGATGAAGGCCAGACTCTAGGCCGAAACGTCGAAATAAACCACGTTGTGACCGCTCACGGAGGATCTACTAGACTATATATATATATATATATATATATATATATATATATATATATATATATATATATATATATATATATATATATATATATATATATATATATATATATATATATATATATATATCCATTGGTGTGAACGGCAAGGGGACAAAGAGGGGAGGGGTGTCGAAGTTTTTCCGTGTGACGACACGACTGCGGGACAAAAAGGGCACACGATGCATATAAAAGAAAACGAATGCGATAATCAGCAAAAATAAATGATTGACAACAAGAAATTTCGGTGAATACGTAAATCAGACGCATTGATAGAACTACGACACGGCTTCGAGATCGATGTTAGCGACTTTGGAGTCTCTACAAGAAGTTTTCGGACAAATAGATGCCACTTTTAAGTTATCCCTGGCTATCATTGTGCAATACTCTATTTTTCGCAAAATGGTTGGAGCATATTTAGCCAGACGGAATTGCCCTCCTAAATCTTTTTAGCGAGCGATGTTCAGGAGTCAAACGAAGTTTAAACTTGTCTGCTGGGACAAATGGCACACTGTATTTTAGCAATTGTCGATTAATTGTTTTCTAAAATAGTGCGACATAAACCATGCAATTCGGTTCTTTTTATGATTATTCGCAGCTTTTTTCATTTGTCTTAAAAATACCTGAAGTTCAAACACCATTGTTGGTAATACACGCTTAAGAGTGTTTCAGTGTGTATGACAAGGGGACAGATATACGAGCTTCTGTTTGAGCATATACTTGGTGGGTGCACCTTAAAGAACCCCAGGTGGTCAAAATTTCCGGAGCCCTCCACTACGGCGTCTCGCATAATCAAATGGTGGTTTTGGGACGTTAAACCCCACAAATCAAAAAGCATATACTTGGTGTCGTATCTCTTGATCTCATTTATTAAATATTCACTCCTGCAGGTGAGTGTAATAATAAGCAGAAGTAAACATGCAGGAAAATGTGGTTCAGCTTCACTAACATAAACCCTGGGGAGGGCGAATCATGTAGTGCGCACCGGTGTTTCCCACACAACTGCCTTTACATTTTACTGCTGTACTTGCCATTAGTCCCCTAACACATCATTACTTTACAGGTATGCGTACACGCGCTTTGCCGTGCTTCCTCATCGACTGCAGAAATTCGTGTCCTTTTTTCTTCCTCTAAACCACCACCACCACCACTACTATTACTACCACTACTACTACTACTACTACTACTACTACTACTACTACTACTACTATTACTACACTACTACTACTACTAACCAATACGCTTCAACAGGTAGCGTTTCAGACAAACGACTTTATCGTAGAAAAACACGTTTGAGTCTGTGGATAAAAAAAAGGAACTTGATCGCGTTGGTAAACTTTGTCAGTTATTGTGACGCTGCTAAGCCAGACAATGTTTCGGGCATTAGCGCCGAACCATTAACTGATAATATGCATGGTATAGACGATTAGCTAGTAGCGAGATTTAGCCAAATTTTTGTGGTGCATAGCCAGTTATGACAGACCCTGACATGTACATGGCACACCGAGACCCGGAGTCGGCTTGCCCCAAAAAGTAATGTAAAATGTTTGCTGGTATAAGCAAAAGAACCGCCATTATCGTGACGCTGATGCAACTTACATGGCTTTTTTTAGTGCCACACTAAAACTGGCTACTATCACAGCAGAGTTACCGAAACCTGCTGCGGTTTGGGTAAGGTAGACAATCCAGAGGTACCTGCACAGACGGGCATAAAAGGGGATGTATTGGATAAATATTCAAGCAATTTATATTTTCCTTGAATATTTATACATAACATTTTTTTTTTCTTTTCAGAAACACTACAAAAAGTGCAGCTGCATCATAAAAATCTCAAAGTGTAGTATTTAGCTGAAATGAACAGTACAAGTCCCACCCACCTTTCTGTTATTGTCACTTGCTTAACGATAGCGTTCACTAAATTTGTTGCAGATAGGGCTGTTAGCAATTGTGCCATCTATTGAAGCAAGACGCGTTTGGGTGCATGGCTCTGCACGCAGCGATCCCAGATTACCAATCTTATGCGCGACATTTGGGTTTCGCATCGCATTATAGTGCCACCACTTCGCGAAAAATCGAAGTTCGTGGTCGGCCTTCTCGGAGACCACGGTTTTGCACGCGTAACTTTCTCTACGTCTGAGAGATGGCGCAGCAAGGCCCCGGGATGTACAGGGATGGGTGGAAGGGCGTTACCGGATAGCTCGGCAAAGTGCTACTCGTTTTAATCACTGTGAAATTTACAATTATGCTTCCACTGAGCAACCATTCAAGGTTATAATTATTTCTTATCCAGTGACACTAAAATGTACTCTGAAACAACAAATCAGCATAAAAAATCTGCAAAAGCAGGAAAAAGCCATAGTAAAAAAATTGTGTGACATTCATTAAAACAAACCTAGACCCTGCTAAAGTAGTGGTCGTGGTACCATAGATTTTTAAATATTGGTATTCCTCAAAGTTTGCCTCCTATTCTCCATCTACCTAGTAATGGGCTCACATATATTTCGTCATTGCAAAATATTATTGAGAACTAACAGACAACAACCTCAAGGAAAGTTCAAGAGCTGCTATTAGTAGTATTCGCAATGGAAATGTAAATAAATTAAAGTTCACGAAACGATAACTTGTCATTAGCAGGGACTGAACCCTCAACCTACGAATAACGTGTCCGATGCTAGAGTTACTGCCATGGCCGTCCTTCAACCTTTTCACGGGACATATATATGCATTTAAACCTGCAATTTTTGTCAGCGTCGCTTGTAACCATGACGGGGAGTGTTGAACGCTGTTTTTCTGCTTGTGCGTCACGTATAGCAGGCTTGTTAGTTCTCATTAAAAGGGTGTCTAACGAAGAAAGACAAGCCCTGACATTTCCTCTTCTTTCCTACTTAAAATGATTTTATCACGTCGCTGACAAGTGTGCACCACGCTATCAGCTGAATTTGAAAGAGTAACTTACGGTGGAATTGGCAGGAATGGAGCGGGACCGACGAAGAGAAATGACACAGCCAATATCGTAAATCCGAGCAATACCGACGCACTTTCTTGTTCCTACAAAGACACAAGATTACTCTTTTGCACGGCAACCTTGAAAGCGGAAAGTGAGGAAACCAACGAAGCGTTGACATAAAAGTCTCGAGAAAAAACCAGATGCTCTTGCAACTTTCTCATGATCCAGGGAACTGCCACAGTGATGCAAGTCTTTTCAGTGGCTCAGAAGTTCTAAGCTCCAAGATATTCATTTTTCAACCTTGCTTCATCGTTTTTTTTTCTGCGACGATGCACAAGTTCACAAATGTTTAAATAAAGGTAGAAGTTTTCGGTGTAGTAGAAAAATGTTACATTTCAATCGAATGGTTAATCTACGATGCAACTGCCGTGATACTATATAGTTCGATAATTGTATAGATGTATCGGGAGCAGGCTGGCATGGCGAATTCAAGCGTTCGTATGAATAATTGTTTCGATGGTGTTTAAGTTATAGTACGTCACAGCGTTTACTCTATACGTGACAATCATTCAATCGTTTTGAACGTGCAGTTCTTCACTGCATACAGTTTTGAATCGTATATATAATAAAGGGCCGTACAAATTAACTTGCGATTTTTACAAAGCGACGCAGTTAATATTATTTTTTTGCTTTTCTACGGTGGCCCGCTTTTATCACAATAAGTAACACGCAACGGCCGTTACTTTGGACATTTGCACAAATATATAATATACTACTGTACTTTCAATCATATTTATTATGCTCTATTCTCCATTCAGTGGTCTCAATGCTAAGGTACTCTTAGTTCTTCCGCTTCGAACTTGCCGCTTGTTCCAAACAAAATGACTTACCAGCTTGTACGTGAATAGGTATCCCCAGAAGAGAGATCCGAGCGAGTAAGAAATGTAGAGAGCAGAGAACACCGCCCCTACTTCTATATCGGGAAGCCGGAACTGTCAAAAGGCAAATGGGTGTCAACAAAACACAAAAGAAATCATAAAAGACTGTCACTTGCAAAGTTATTTCTTGGAAGAAATGAAGCACGGACAGGAAGAAGCATGACACATTGCGTCGTTGTCTGAGGTTGTGAAACAAACTAATTTGCCATCAGTCTCTTTTTTTTTTTTTGTCGTAACGTTCCAACGACAGCGTGGGTGACAAGAGAATGTAAGCAATGGTCGACCGCCTGTCATTGCAAGTTTCCACTTTCCGGCAGCACATCACGATGAGCACGTTGAAGCGTCATTACTCGAACCTTATTAGGCCAGCCAAGTGAAACTTCGGTGGGTACCAGTTTTTACAATAAACTATCATCATCATGCAAGAATATGTGCCACAGAAAATGGGATGATTCCACTACTCACTGCTCGCCCACTAAAAATGAAGAAAGCAACAGAAGGATGGCAAACAATAATTAATCCTTCTTAACACATGTAACCTGGGGTTCAATAACGTGCGCCCAAATCTGAGCACAAATGTTGGAGGCCCGTGTGCTTAGATATGGGTGCACGTTAAAGAACCCCGGGTGGCCGAAATTTCCAGAGCCTTCCACTACGGCGTCTCTCATAATCATATGGTGGTTTTAGGACGTTAAACCCCACATATCGATCAACACATGTAACCAGTAATAGATAAACATTTTAATAAACCATCTAGCATAACCCAGCGATAAACACCGTGGTCGTCTCTTTTAGCTTCACTGAAACATCTGTACGGAGTGCTTCAGCAGTACGAACAACGAGAGAACACTAGGCAATGGGAAAGCCGACGGCGGATGCAATGAAACCCCGAAGCGATGGGAGCCCACGCAAACGGCGTAAGAAGCCCTTCGCAAGCATGCCCGTAAATCTACGGAGACGCGAATGGTTGGTTTCAGCACAAGGTTCTGACTCCGGAGTTTGGACTTTTGTGCCGTGTCTATGACTGTCTGTGGTATAAATACGCGAACTTCTTTGCGCTCAGAAGCAACCCAAAGACAGCCTAGCATCGCCTAGCTAAAGCTTAGCAACAAACTAGACGCAACCACGCTAGTGTTCAGAACCATCTAGATTCGCTGTTTGAAGCCTTGCAAGGCTTAGTAAAACCTCCGAAATTTTTTCCCGATTGCGCTATCTTTCTCAGCTAGCTGCAAGAAACCTAAAAGAAGGCAAGTGATTTCGCCCAGTATGCACATCGACATGAAAACTGTAACGCAGATAGATTAAAACGTGTCATCTGATTGATTGATTTGTGGGGTTTAACGTCCCAAAACCACCATTTGATTATGAGAGACGCCGTAGTGGAGGGCTCCGGAAATTTTGACCACCTGGGGTTCTTTAACGTGCACCCAAATCTGAGTACACGGGCCTACAACATTTCCGCCTCCATCGGAAATGCAGCCGCCGCAGCCGGGAATCGAACCCGCGATCTGCGGGTCAGCAGCCGAGTACCTTAGCCACTAGACCACCGCGGCGGGGCTAAAACGTGTCATCTGTAGTTCCTATTATTATTATTATTATTATTATTATTATTATTATTATTATTATTATTATTATTATTATTATTATTATTATTATTATTATTATTATTATTATTATTATTATTATTATTATTATTTACACACTTGTAAAGCATACAATTGAACTCGCCCTGTCAGCAGCTCATCCAGAAAGAATGTCTTCGCACTGTTGAGCCCATTGCTGCTCTTGTTACGGACAACTGGGCTTGTAGGCAGCCCTTGAGCAGTGTCACTATTTACTTTCGCCTCGGTTTTCTTTCTTATTTTGCTTCCTTTTGTAATGTTTTTATTTTTCATTATAATTGCTTATACTCTTTACCACTTGAGCCAGAGCAGATTAGTGAACCAGTCTAAGAAATTGCCAACGTAATCCCCTTCCTTCCCCCTCACAGCTGATAACAAGGCAATACAGCCAGCATTTTGAACAGATGCCGTAACGTTAACGAGTGTTATATACTATAGGACAATGACTTACCTCCCCTTCCTTGAGATGAAATTCCAATGTCCCGTCGTGAAACCCAAGGGATGATGTGGCAACTATGACATTTGCGATGCTAATAATCATTGGAGCGCTGAACGAGAGGCGGATGGCATTTTGGTCCGGTTGGTCTCGTGCAACCTCAATTGCTTGAAAGAAATGACACTTATGTTTATCGCCTTAGCTACGCCTAAGTGAAATGAAGACAGTTTTTCATGTGAAATTGAAGAACTCGGACGAACGCCATCTGTTAATAAAGCTAGATCCTGAGGCTTATCCTGAGAAATGATTGCTGCCATGGGAAATCAAGGACGCAGGCTTACACTTTGCTGGAGACCGTAGCAGAATGAATGGTGCACCGAGGAACATTATACCACCGGAAATAAAGAACGGTATGGCGTCTGGCCACCACTGAAAGAGGAGAGGTTCCGTCAAATCATAATGAAAATAAGCTGCCGTGGATGCGTACCTCAATGAGAGCAGTTCCAATGACAACACCAACTGTATTAGATATTCCATATACGCACTCCATAGAAGACTGAAAAGAAAAATGAAACGTGAGACTATAACGTCAAGCAGCCATGCATGAGCTCTTTCACAGCGAGTTTGCAGAACGTTGAAACGAGAGAGAAGTTAAAGGGACCATATGGAATGGTTGATTTAGGGTTTTCAGAAAAAAACTAAAGGTAGAGGGTTTGTTATGCTACAGATAAGAACAGTGGGACTAAAAAATATTTCAGCGCGAAAGAACCTAGAAGTTAACGATTGTAAACAACGCCCACATCTGACGACCATGGCATGTTGCCATGGCGTGTGTGACGTCATGTGCAGCAAGCAGTGGAGTCATCGTCTTCTACCACAGTTTCGATCGTTGCTTCATTGCGATTGTTGATTCATTCATTTCTTGTGCCAATCTGAGAGAAACTAAACTATTTCGTTTGCACACGCAGACGACCACAGAACAAATATCGATCGTCAGAATGCAAATGAGCGCACAGTGAACTGCTGGTTAAACCATGGCACGCGAATTCACCAGTGTTGCTCGTTTTTCATCCGTTCTTGCGTTTAAAAAATGTTCAATTATAGATTCAGTGTTCAACCAAATACGCTAACATTTCGCAAGCTTATTTATAAACCCAAGAGGATTAACCCACGTGTCGATCGAAAAGTGGATGGCATGACCTCATTAATGGGAGACGAAGGCTCACAGTTATGAGGAATAATATAACACTAAATGTCCCTGGAATGAACATTCCGAAAAGTGGACTAGTATTCGTTAAGGTGGCAGCTACGTTTCTTATCAGCATGTATGTTAGCACATGGCTTTTTTTCTTTTGTCTCAAGGATTAGTGCAATACATGAACCATGGAATTCAGCAAAGGTTAGTGAGGGCGACCTCCGTTTTTTTTACTACTAAGAATTAAATAAGCTCGTAATTTCCCAAGTGTGCAAAAACGCCAATTGACGTGAAAAAAAAAACACTTTTGTAGTACGCAGTTGCGTTAATCGTGGAAGCCTTGATGAATCTGTGAAATTGAAATGTGATATTCGCATGTAATTTCAAAAAAATAAACGTGATGACTTAACTCACTAACAATTATTATACCACAGCTTCGTTGGCTTCTGAAAGTGGCGGCGGCATAAAGTGTCACAACAAAAAATGCATAGAAGAAACCGAAGACTACTCCAATTGTCACAGTGGCGCCAATAAATGAGCTGCCTTCGTTGATCCAATAGGTGGAGCTATAAAAAAATGAAGAGAACAACATTGTGGTTACGAGAATCACAAAGTACATGTCAATACCTTAGCAACAAGCTGACAATAGAACCTAAACCCATTTAAAATATTTGTGAAAAAGAGGGCGAAAAGAGGAAACTCAAAGAAAGGTGAGACTGTAGGTTATTGAAAATTTGCCTGATGGGCTAGGCTGCACAGACTTAGGTGGAAGTGTGTAAAAATAATACGGAATAAACAAAGAAGGTATTGTTTCGACGTGGTATGTTCTTAAAAAGCTTGATTATTTTGTTCATCAATCCGAAATTCATCTGCAGTCTGCAGACCAATACCATAATCCGACACCAAACTAGGCGCCCCTCTTCACGCCTCTCGTGTATAATAAAGATCATAAATAGGTCTTACCCGTACAAAGACACGCATACAATAATTCCAATGAATGCAACAATCAGGGTCACGCGAGGTTTAAGGCGCTGAATCTGCAAAAAGAGACAATTTAGAAAAGTTAGACATGCACTTCGCAAACGTACTTAAGAATACAGTTGAATACCAAAACTTACGATTGCTATATTACAAAGGCTTCCTGCTAACATTGATGCTCTAGTGCTGGCATAGATGACGTTGAATTGCCATTGCTCTGCTCGCTTTTCTGCCGCCTGAAAGTAACGCCTTGATTTACATATAGATGGCACACTGGCGAGGGTACACCGCGAAACAGTAATTTAAAACTTCCCTTCCCGCGAGTATTAACTCGAGGCAATTGAAGATGAGAGAGAGACAGGAAGGTAGAGAAATGACAGGAAAGTTATTCAGGAGGAACTCCGGTGCTACTTGGAAAAGGCGAAGGGAAAAAGACAATAGCACTATCTAAAAGAAACACAGGAACATAGTCGCTAAACTGTCACAATGTGCCGGACGTCACAAGAAACCACAGCAACGTCCTCATAGTCACTTGCGTTGAAAACCGGGTAGGCTAGTGCCAGCTAAGCAATCAGGGAGATGAAAAACTTTCTTCAAATACAGAAAAGTACCACTTAGCTACCTAAAGTTTGCAAGCTAACTGAAATTAAAGGTGAATCAGGATAACTGATACCCAAAGCATTTTTAATGCCGTTACCTGAACAAGAATGAACCATCAAGTACCCATAGTAACGTTGAATGTTACTACGGGTACACTAATAAGGACCACACTTGGCCAACTACTAGTTTGAACGGAGGATGAAAAGCATTATGACCAAGGGCAGCTGCAGTTGAGGTTGTGTGAAACATTTCCAGCTTTGCTGGGATAGATCAGGCTAGAAATATTACAGCTGTGGTTAGCTTCTAGTCATAACTGCACCAATAATGTAAATAAGTACATGAGCTCCGTACACCTCACGTGAATACAGCAGTGCGGCCTTTTTAAGGACAACTGAGGACATCCTTTTTTTTTTCTTCGTAACTCAAGGTATGTTAAGGAGCACTTCCGGTCGGTGTAGGCATCAGAAAGGCCAGGACAGTCTTGCTGCAGGCGGATAACTCGAGTCCAAATTAGTATTATGTTGTGAAGGTACCCGGACAAGGTGTCAAATATCCACCTTGAGGCTATCAGTGGTATTGTACGTTCACATAGGATATCTCCTGCAATGATTGTAACTGTAAACACATTTCGGATCCCCAACGCACGTCCGTAGTGCTTGAATTTGCTTTGCAGGAATTTTCCATCGTGAGAATGAGACTATATATGGCGAAACCGAGAAACCGAGAGGCGTTACAGGAAAACAGCCTTGACTGTACAAATTTACCCCAGAACTTTCCACCCAAACAGTTGAGGTGTGCTTTGGTACAGAGCCGTATCTTTTAGTGCTAAACATGGAGCGTTCTTTGTAAATGTAGGTAGATGACTAGCTGCACCTCGAAAGTGGTGCGGCGGTCATGGGCAGTTGTTGGTTTCTTGATCATTATGGTATACTGTCACATAGTCCTGCGTGCAAAAGCGACAATTCTTTGGGGACACTGTGAAACTGATTTTTCAAGTACAGCGTGGTCAGCATAGCTGTCTTTTGTTATCTGGCTGTAGTTAATTGAATGATATGTGAGGTTTAGACCCCAAACCACCATATGAGAGACGCCGTAGTAGAGGGCTCCAGAAATTTTGAACACTTGGTGTTCTTTAACGTTCACCATATTTGAGCACACGTGCCAACAGCATTTTCACCTCCGTCAAAAATGCAGCTCTCGCTGTAGGTGTGTCACGGCAGTTGCACCGATGCAGACGTCGTCTGCTTATGTAAATACATAACTGTCTTCTGTAGGTATTTCATGAGACCAAAAACGATGCGGTTGAATAGCATCGGGCTTAACAAGTCACCTTGCAGCACTTCAAGTTCTATTTGTTCGTAACATGTGGCATCATCATCAGTGACCATAAAGGAACATGTACGAGTCAAATAGCTGCATATCCACTTAAACGTTCCGGGACCAATTTCAATATGAATCACCGTGTCTATGAATTCGACGTGGATTACATTGCCGAGGGCGCCTATAAATCTAGGAACGATGCTGCTGTGAAGTGCTTCAGTCGTCTCTGCTGATGGTAAAAGGTAAAAAAGTCAACCCCGTTATCTGCCGCGGGGCGCTAACGACAAAAACTTGCCATATAGGTCGCCGTAAAGATTGTAGCCTTCCGGGTACAATTCCAAGTGTGTATCAGCAGCATTTTTTAAATAAAATTTCCAATGCAGCTTGCTAAAGCAATGGGCTGGTTCGATAGTAGGTCTATTGTCGATGCGACAAACAGCGATTAGGGGCCGCGTGTTTCCGCTTCTGTTGTAAACTATCTGCTCAAAAATCAACCAAGTAGAAAACGCAGGAAGTCGCCGGGATCTTCTCAAGCAACATTCCCCAGCTGATTACGCAAACTCTCTGAAGAACTCCAGAGAATCGAAAAGATCGTCATCCAAGAACAATTCAAGTCAAGAGACCTGTCACCCAAAGAAAAAACCAAATTTATTTTATTTTTAAATTTATTTTTGATGCACCTTTTTACTTTTTTTTGTCTCCTCATACTTTTTTCTTCTCTTTTACCTTATCGAAGATAGCGTGTAGCTTCTGCCCTATTCATTTTTTTTGTTGTTTTACTGTATTACTTGTGGTATGGCCTGGGGTTCTTTCATGGTGGTCGTCGTGAAACTTTATTGGGGCTCTTTCATGGATATGTTTTTTTTCCTCTTTTTGTCTCACATAAAATGTCTGTATACTAACCCTCTATGCCCAGGGCTTGGGAGGTGGAAGAGGTAGCGTCCATTTATAATGATACTAACTTTATATTTAGAACACACAGAAAATCTCCCCCATAAGAGACCTGGAGTAAAAGTTCTTTTTAGGGGTGAAGCTTCTAAAGCAATGGGTCTGTTCATGAATGTAT